ACACAAATACGGTGCTGATCTCGCCGGAGGCGTAGCGGATACGTTGGTAGATGACGGCACCATACGCTAACTCTGATGCGTCGCCAAATACGTGAAGCTCGACATCTTGCGGTGTAGCGCCTGCAATGGCCTGCAAGCAGCGTGGCACTTGAATTGAGCTCAGTGCAAGGAGATCCTGGAACCACTGTCTACAACGTGAGCTCAGTTCGACGGGAAGCACTTCGTCCCAAGTTGCACCGCTAGCCCAGATCTCTTGCATCAGTATCTTGGCACGGATGATCACCGGTGCCAGAAATCCTAGCGGGTCGAAGATCGTCGCGATCTTTCGGAGGATGTTCCTCTTCGTCATCATCATATCGTCAGGTGGTATGACAGCCTGAAAGCTGAACATGTCGCTGTCGCTCAACCAACTGATCCCTAGAGTCTTAATCTGGGATGGGCCGTCTCCGTTCAGGCTGAGTTGCGTTGCCTGATCTTCTCTGGGTATGTGACCCAACAGCTCCGGAGAATTCGACAGCCACTTCCTCACTGCCATGCCTGCTCCCTTCCATGCTGCTGTCACACTCTTGTACAGGGCCACACCCTCGGCAATTGTAGAGACTGAGTCCATACCGTCGTCCATGTAAGTTGATTCGAGCATCATCTCGGCTGCACGGGCGAATTCTGGATCTAGTGTCTTAGCGTGCTCTCGCGCGACCAGTTGCGCTAAGAACGGGGAGCAGTTCAGACCGAATACCACCCGGTTGAATTCGTACACATCTGGAGCTGACTGCGAGTCTGTATTCCACAGGAATCTCAGATATGGCCGATCTGATTTTCTGACTTCAACCTGTAGATACATCTCCGTGACATCACAGCCAATGCAGATCGGATGCCGCCGAAATCTGAGCAGAACAGCCGATAGATCACGTTGTAACTTCGGACCGGTGTGCAGCAGGTCGTTGAGGGCGGTGCCATCATGCTTAGCTGACCCGTCGAACACAATGCGAACTTTCGTCGTACTTTTGTTCAGTCGGACAACCGGGAAGTGTGGAAGGAGCCACGATCCTGCTTCATGTGGGTTTGCATTCACCTTCACCACGTACCCTTTTCTCACGTAACTCTCAATGGTCTCTGCATAGCGCTCTGCAATTTCTGGGACCCGTTTCAGCCTCTTCTGTGTTTGCGCAAGTCTCTTCGCTGCCATGTCGTAATTGTTGGTGGGCCGTGATGCATCTGCCCGCCATGGCATCCCGACACAGTAGCGACCATTGGTGAACGTCATTCGTTTCTTTGTCGCTGTCAGGACGTCCAGGTTTTCCGGTGACATGGGGTGTTCTGGGCTGGTCACTTGCTCAATTTCCCAGAACTGTCGCAAAGTCTTATCCACACTCAGAAGGGTCTCGCTGCTGGCGATGATAGCGCTGCAGCAGTGGTTTGTGCCCCCGCCACGGCTAACCCCTGCTCCGACGCAGGTCCATCCGAGAGGTGTGAGACGCGCGATGGGCTCTCCGGCTGGTCCAGACACTTCATACAACGCACGGTGAAGCTCGGCATTGTCGACGCCAATGAGCAGCTCGATCCTTTCAGGGGTGGCCGGTTCCGGAAACGGTATATCAGCCAAGTGCTCATAGCCAATCTTCTTGCTACTCCAGTCCGTTAGCTGCAGACGTCCTGTTACTTGGTTGGGAGTTGTGAGTCCGACTACGGTTGTCCATGATTGACCGTTAATATTGGCGATATCGAACTCCACTTCCATGGATTTGAAAGTGCTCCGCTTTCCATTCAGCATATTGATAGTCATGTCATGCTGCTCACCACTCATTCCTAGCGCTGTGGCAACGTCTTCATGGATGAAGGTGTTGGTACTTCCGTCGTCCAGAAGCGCATTGACGACGAGCCGCTTACTACCGGACCTGAGAGCGACAGGCACAGTGCGTAAACTGGTGTAGCTCTTCTCGGCTGTTGCATTGCTGCATTGCTGGGGGGACTCCCCTTCCGTTGGAGTCTCATGCGCTGTTGCGACGCCACAGTGTCCTTGTTCAGCCTTGGTGTTTGCTTTGTCATAATTCCTTTCCTTGCCATCGGCTCTCGGCTTCTTCCTGATCTCAAAATCTGATCGTGCCAAGCCGTGTAGTAGACGATGATGATTCCGTTGGCAACCATCGACACCACAAGTGCGAGTTCGAGGACACTTGTCGCCTCTGTGCCCTGTTCCCAGGCAGCGATAGCACAGGCTTAATTCCTTTGCTCTTGTCCACCGTCGGCCTGTGTCGTGTCCTTTGAAGGTGGAGCATTCCCAAATGCCATGGCTCCCGCTGCATTCTGGACAAGTGGCGCGAGAGGATATGAAAGAAGTCTCCTCGTCTCGTGCCGTCTGTCCGTCTGCCAAGTGTGTATGAGCATTGCTCTGCTGCAACGAGCGATGGCTACTTGGCCGGAATGATGGTCTGCTGCTGTCAAAGTGACGGGCAGTGCCTGGTGCTGTTGCAGGTACTGCTGCTGCCACGCCATGTACCGCCTCGGCTGCCACTGTACGGTACTCCACTTCTTGCAGTGTCCACTCAAGAAGCGCTACTACCGTTGGCTGCTGTCGGTGGTCAACTAACCAACGTTGGTAGTTGGTGAGCATCGACTCTGCCAGTTTTCGCTGTAAAACTCTGTACAAGGTGCCATCTCCGAGCTCTTGGTCTCGGCCTGCCTCGCGTAAGTTGAGGATGGCAATGTCGAGCAGGTCACCAAAATGCTCGAGGTCTTTGCTGCTCTTCACACTGGGGTGACTTTCTAGTTCATCCAAGTGGAGCGCTAATTGACGACGTTGTCCGCCAAACTTCCGTTCGAGTCGCCGCTTGGCTGCCTCATAGGCCGCTGCTGAGTGTCCGAGTCCGTCAATAACTTTCAGCGCGTCGCCTTTCAGGTGCTGGCGAAGCTGCAACAGTTTATACTCAGGTGTAGCGGGTGCCTGGTCAATACAAGCTACAAAAGCTGCACGCCACGCGTTGTACTGCCGCTTGTCGCCGGAAAACTCTGGGACCGCAACACGCTTGAGTTGTCGCCACATGTCTGTTCCCAACGCCGCTGGTCCGGGCGATGCTGTCACAGACCTCGGCATCGAGCTTGCGCTAGCTGGCACAGCGTGTGGTGCTGACATTGGCACTGCGGACATTGGCACTGCGGACATTGGCACAGGTGCAGCCTGTGCTGCTGAGACTGAGACTGCTGGAAATGCTGATCCTGGAGCAGACCATGATGGAGCTGCTGATACTGGTACTGGAGCAGCCCATGCTGCTGACATTGGTGCGGCTGAAAACATTGCTGGTGTAGGTACAGCAGATTGCAGAGCTATAGGTTGAGTGGCAGTCTGGCCTACTCTGGTCTTGGCTGTTGGCAAGCTCATCCCAGACACTGGCAGAGTGGTATGCACAGTTGTACTTGTACTAGGCACTGCTGGTGCATGCCTGCTGCTAGTCCTGGTCCCAGTGGCAGCGCTGACTGTCACAGTGCTTCCTATACCTATCACTGGCCTGGCCTGCAGGTAACCTGGTGGTGGTGCACTGGATGCTGCCAGGTAGTTGGTACTGAAACTGGCACCTGTACTTCTGAAACTAATGCTTGTCACACTGGCCTGTGGTGGTGACAGGTTGTTTGTGGTTGCAGGTGACAACCCTGCAGTAGTGCTGGTACATGTACTAGAACTACATTGTAGTACTGTTACTAGTGTTAGTGGCAGATGTAGTACTGCTACTGCTAGTGCTGGACTGAAGCGCTTGGTCTCCGAGACTGAGGCCCGCTACGTCTGCTCTAACTTTCACTTCACTGGCACTGGGCTGAGCACCAGCTTCTCTGATCGCTGTGTGCTCCATATCCACAGTACTACTACTATCTGTCTGCAGCGCTAGCGACTCCACTCCGTACTCAAATAATTCCCGTGCTCCACCAGCATGTTCATCGCGTTCATCAGCGCTGTTCTCATCGACAAGAGCAGTGTGCCTATCCAGGTAAGCTCGCAGTTTGTAGATTTGAGTTTTTCTGGACGGACTTCCAAAACGTGTACTGGGCGTGACAAAACTGCTGTATTGCCGACAGAAGTCCGCACTTCGTTCCATCGCGGACGTATATTTCTCTTCTGTTTGCTCCGCATCCTCAGATAACTTGCGTAATTCTCCCAGACAGTCTGGGGTCTGCTGAACATAACTCGCCAGGGTCCTGGTGACTCCTGCAAGTTCGTCCATGGCTCCTTGCAGCAAGGAAACTGCTTTCAGTACCGTTGCCTTGTCCGGCACAGGTCGCGTGTCGACATCTACCAAGACCAACAGCCCCCGCCTCGCATTCGTGAGCTGCGTCTTCGCTGCCGACTTCCGCAGCTTCAGGAGCTCGATCTCACGCTCCAAATCATGGCATTCCTCCGAGGATGCCATTCTCAGGCGAGGATCCTAACCTAACGACCAACCATCCTCTGCTACCAAATGTGTTGACGGCTACAGATCATACACCTCGGCGAGGATCGACACTCCTGAATCGCTGTGGTGTTGGCTCGAAGAGCACTCGATTATTCCAACAAACTACAATACATGCAAAGAAAAACTCTCAGGAAACAAAAAGGCAGCGCAGCCAAACAAAGGTACAGCTAAAACCTCATGCCGCACGCACAAGAACACAACAACCAAAAAAGGCTACACGGTGCCAAGGCTGGCTCAGCGAAACCGACCGCAGCGGAACCTAAAAGGTAGCCCGCTGTACAACTGCGATATTACATCAGGCATCAAGGTGCCCCCAAGGGGAGCACATGAAGACAGTAAGATGCCAGGAGATAAAGGTCAAATCACAGAGAACCGACAGCATGACCGCAATGGCAATCAGGAAGAGAAAGCAAATCGCAACTGAACATGACATGAACGTGTAGACTAACTCCGTGGCATTCTCGCCACGCCAACGAGGGTAAGGAATAGAAAAAGAAGCATGCATGCTATACACTCAACATAAACCTGTGCGACTTTCTTATCTTAATAATAATAACGCACCGGATCTCCGTTCCAGCTCTTCTTCAGTTAACCCTGGCTCTGGTTCTCCTTCACTACTGCTGAGGCTCGGGCTCGGTGGTGTCAAAAATCCTAGGGTAGCTGCATTGTCGGCCACACGCTGAAGCTCGGTCTCTGCAATTAGACAAAGTCGTTAAGCATGGGGAGACAACAACACCAAGTTAGCTGTCATAGTAGTACTTGAAATAGGACAGCAGCATACTTCCAAACCCAGACAAAGGAAATCCCTTAGACACACACCCAGTTTCCCCTAATTTTCTCTCATTTCCCTTATTAATATTTCCTGGTTTTTGCCAATTTCGGCCATTTTCTCTTTTTTTGGGCACTTTTGATTATTTTTGCATATTTTTCGGCAATTGTAGGCAATGTTTTCTTTCTTTATCCATTTATAACCCATTGCTCATTGGAGGACCAAAACCTGAGTTTCTTTATTGTCAGATCGCCCCTACATGTGTGATTCTGTGAAATGTAGGGCCACATGTGCCCTTGTCACACCCCAAAACAAACCTTTTTTGAACACTTATGGTTCTGTGCCAAAACCAGTAGTTTTTCGATCAAAGTCAAAAATCCCCGGCATGCTGGTAGTGACCGTAGTTCCCAGTATAATACAGTCTATAGAGAGTTTTAGCAACTCGTGAACGAGTAGACCTCTCTACGAGTCGGTAGCAGGGCCCTTGATTCGTGGGAAACGAACCCCGATTGCAGCACACAACGAGACTCGAACCCAGGCACCCAAGTCGACCACCGACCAGGCGGCCCTACGCATACCAATGTATGTAGGGCTCCCTGCCACCAACTCGTAAAGAGGTCTGCTCGTTCACGAGTTGCTAAAACTCTTTGATATCGGCCATAGCGTACCCTTTTGATTTCCGTGATTTTATCACTATAACCGATGCATCACTATCTGCGATACGATCGATTTTTTTTTGATCGACACATGAAAAGCAAGGAAATACTTCCAGCATGGCGTTTTGAGCATGCTGCATAGTTGACAGTGCCCGCATTTCCATAAAATAATTATGTTATGTACATGTACATGTATCACTATGAAAATAAGCAACGTGAAGAAAGTAAAAAAAGAGTGTATAGAGTATCTAGTTACAGTGGTGGACAGTTACTCTTTACTCGTATCCATATGTCCTTTTCTTTTCTACATTTTTTAAATGTGCACTCTTTTTCATTTGTAGAATAGACGGAGATCTTAGCTTGTACGGTCGTCCCTCTCCCAGTCGGGGGAATGAGCCTACAAGGACAGTAAAACCTGTAACTAAAGACCACCGTGACTAGCGACCAGCCTGGTACTACAGACCGCTTTGCCAGGCACGGACTGTCTCACATTCATATGTTTCGGTGGTGCAAATCTCTAACTAAGGACCACCTGCCACTAAAGACCGCTTTCCACAAAGACCACTGTAACTAGATACTCTATACACTCTTAACTCGTATGCATATGTCCGTTTCCTTTCTACATTTATTATTACCTCAGTAGAAAGTATTATGGGCGTTCTAACTCACTGACGTCATCGATGACGTCATAGCGATTTAACCCTAAAAACCGGGGCGTTTTAACCCTAATTTTTTGGCGATTTACGGTAAATTTTTGCGATTTACCGTAAATTTTTGCGATTTAACCTAAAATCGGAGCGTTTCACACATGACGTCATAGATGACGTAATGTGATGTAACCCTAATAACCGGGCCGGGGCCTTTTAACCCTAAATTTCATGATTTAACCCTAAATCGGGGCATATTAACCCTAATAATCCCGGTAAGCCTAACCCTATCACCATGACGATAACCCTAACCCTAGGGCTATCACCATGGCAATAACCCTAATATTCCTGACGATGATAACCCCAACCCTATGAACATGACGATAACCCTAACCCTAGGGCTATCACCATGGCGATAACCCTAATATTTCTGATAACCCTAACACCATGACCATAACCCTAGGGCTATCACCATGGCAATAACCCTAATATTTCTGATAAGACCATGACCATATGTTGCAAAAGAAGGATCCACGAGCGGGATTCGAACCCAGCAGCCCTGTCTTCCGGGACAGTGCCCTACCGATTAGGCTACCGGGGATCACACACACTCATGGGTCCTTCTTGCTACACTGCTCCCCCGCCCCAACAGGCTGTGTCCTCACGCCGTATCTACTCGCGGGGGGGGGGGGGGGGGGGGGGGTACGATGGGTCGTGGGTTCGAGCCATTGCCAGGCGCCAATGTTGCAAAAGAAGGATCCACGAGCGGGATTCGAACCCAGCACCCCTGTCTTTCCGGGACAGTGCCCTACCGATTAGGCTACCGGGGATCACACACACTCACCCCCGGCTAGCTCAGTCGGTAGAGCATGAGACTCTTAATCTCAGGGTCGTGGGTTCGAGCCCCACGTTGGGCGCCAATGTTGCAAAAGAAGGATCCACGAGCGGGATTCGAACCCAGCACCCCTTTCCGGGACAGTGCCCTACCGATTAGGCTACCGGGGATCACACACACTCATGGCCTTCTTGCTACACATAACCCTATAACCCTAACCCTATCACCATGACGATAACCCTAATATTCCTGACGATGATAACCCTAACCCTTTCAACATGACGATAACCCTAACTCTAGGGCTATCACCATGGCGATAACCCTAATATTCATGATTATGATAACCCTAACCCTAGGGCTATCACCATGGCGATAACCCTAATATTTCTGATAACACCATAACCCTAGGGCTATCACCATGGCAATAACCCTAATAATCCTAACACCATGGCCATAACCCTAATATTCCTGATAACCCTATCACCATGAAGATAACCCTAATATTTCTGGTGACTATAAACCCGACAATAACCCTAATATTTCGAGAGACGATAACCCTAGTAGCCCTCGTCACCCTATCACCATAACAATCCTATTACCATGTCAACTCTACTCTTTTTATGTGTGCATGTACTACAGATCACAACGACAACAACAACACTCAGCAAACCCTAATAATCATCTTATGTGTGTACAAGTCCTATAATTATGCCCTATTAGCAAATCTGGTTGTTACGTGCACAGATCCTATCGTTATTCATCTTATGTGTGTACAGGTCCTATATACCCTATTAGCAAATCTTGTTGTTATGTGTACAGATCCTATCGTAATGCTAACACAATTACCATCGCAACCCCCATCAACTCTTTGATGACGACCGTAATAACCCAATCACCACCACATACGTGTCTACAGGTACTGGAGAGTTGGGGAAAAAATCCTCCCCCCGATTTACCTAATAGCAAGCCTTAGGGTTGTCGCAAAAGTTTTCTGTCGTCCCTGAAACGAACATCGTTCATTTCGTACTCGGACCCCCTCCCCTCCCTCTGAAACGAAAACAGCTTGCTATGCTGGACGAAAATCGCATGCATGCACATGTCATATGTACAGTGTCGGTCGACTTGCGATTTTGGCTCGCACCCCCTCCCACCCCCCCAAATGAATCATGTTCTTTCAGGGACGACAAAAAACTTTTGCGACGACCCCTTAGTAAACTATTTTACTTACCTTGCACGAATTTATACAACAATTCAATCGGGGGGGGGGGGGGGAGGGTCATGCTCATCACCAGGTAAGATGCACATGTGCATTCACACGCGCATCTGTATGACGATAGTGTTGCAGCTGCAAACGATGAAAAATTACGAAAAATAAATCAAACGATGAAAAATTACGAAAAATAAATATATAGGGCTATATATGGAATCAGACTACGAGCAAGAATTGTGTACGATCGTAATCGGATAGACATGCAATGGCCGACGATCACATACCTTGTACGAAGCAATGCTGCAAGGAGATGAAGAGAGATGTCCGTCTCTTGTCCAAGTAAACGACTAGGCTAAAATAATTCCAGGACTACATGAAAAAAGGAACACTGTCACTACGAAATGATTTGAGGAAATGAAGATTGCTTCCATATACGTGCACACCACTTGCTCCGACGAGTTTGAAATTTTCAAGCTCGTACGCATCAAACCGCAAAGCCAGTCAAAACGGGAGCCGCGTACAGGATACGCATCAAAAGCTCGACCGAACCCTCGATCGCGTCTGCGATCTGACGTACGCGGGTCAAAAGGTTGCGAGGAGTGCGTCGTACGCGCACACACTATCTGCATAAGGGAGTAGTAAAAACTGTATTTTACTCCTTGCTATGCTCAGAGTACGCACAGCGTACTAGTACTCCGATCAGGCGGAAGTTTCTGGAATCAACTAGAACCCGCGCGTGCACGACAAATTTGGACGCGTTCAAACAGAACGCGGACGAAGTACTCTAGATGCTTTTCCTTTTACTTGCTCATAATTTATTTTCCTTCGATGAAGAAAGGTGGAAGTAAGTTTGTTTAGTTGAAAGTACATTTAGCTACAAGATGCCCCAACCAAGCCGAGTGATGCGAATGTTCGAGTTCGAGCTCGAGCATAATGCGAGAATGCTCAGGAACTACGTCTGCCATCTTGGTGCTGGACAGTACCAGGATGCTAGCGTTTTGTTACAGCTGATGGACAGGAGCCTCAGTGAGCTGCTTCGCGATGACGTCCTCGAGTTTGGGAGATACAAAGTAGCTATTGTCCTTCAACTGCGTTTGTTGAAGCAGGATGGTGTCACCGGTGACAAGGTGTTCATCAGCTTCTTCGTGCGCACGCGAACCACCATCGTCCTGAATGATGATGATGTTCGTTACAAATTGGATAGTGCTGCAGCAGAGATCGATGCTCAAATCGATGAGTTTGTCCGAAATGGATCGGGGTGGATCGTGGATCACGTTGAAGCCGTATATCTGGAATTGTCAAAATTTGAGCTGCCCGGAGGTGGAATGTTCATCCATCTCCCCCAGCACATCAAGGCTAAGAAAGCCTGCATCAACGTCATGAACAGCGACAATCGGTGTTTGCAGTGGACTCTGCTGGCTGCAAAGCATCACGATGATGTCGGTCCAAACAACACTCGAGTATCGAAGTATGTTCCATACGTCGACGAACTGAACTTTGCCGATGTAGAGTTTCCAGCTAGTATGTGTGCCATCACGACGTTGGAGCAGAACAATGCCGATCTCGCCGTCAACGT